CTTGTCTTCCTTTTCATTCTTGTTTCTTTTTTTGGTCAGTAGGAAGGGGAAAAAGAAGGCGGGGGTGGGGGTGGGGGAGCATAGGAACAGGAAAGTGCAGCACTGTCCTGCCAGACCTCCTGTGTTTGATACCCACAGAAAAAAGAAAAGACCTGTGAAGTGGCTGGCGGCAGACTCAACCTTAAACCTAGAGTAAAGTCAACAGAGATTTCGGCATCTGGATTTACCTACCTATACTATTAAAACACAGTATTCAGGTTATTGGGTGGTATGGATTTGAGGGGGACTTGCACACTGATCTTCATTATTGTAAGGAAATGTAAGTAAGTCACAGTAGATGGAACTTACACTTTTGTACAGTACAAAGTACAGCTGGACAAAGGTGTAAGTTCGGGGCTCCAGTTGCTAGTATAGTACCAACACTCAGTAAAACAAGCACTGTGATATAGAGAAACAGGGTGAGATTTTTTAAAAAGTTAAGAAAAGACAGATTTCAAGGATCAAAACGTTGCTGTTATGTCAGGCATGGCTCAAATGGTTATTAAGTATTTTGAATTTTAAAAATACCCAAATTCCATTTGGGAATCTGGGAAGGTTATGTAACTTCATGGGAAAGCAATGTGAATCCTGCCAGCTACACTGACCCATGCATCTTGACTTCTCTGAACTCAGAACGCTTTATGGTGCTGACCTCTAGTTAAGCAGGATTTTACCTCTCATGTATTCTTTCCCTCTTTCCTCTTATGTTGGCATAAGCCTCTTTGGAAAAAAGTTATGTATTTCCAAATGAAGGACTGCAAAGTTGTTCACCTGTTTTTTTCATTTCAACAGTAATGCTTTCTCACACACACAACCAAACAGGAAGGGTGTCTCCGCCTGGCAAACTTAGCTTGTGCCTAGCAGTCTCACTTTTGCCAAACTTTTTGTTTGTTGAATGAAAAGTGACTGAATATATGCTGGTAGTACTGTAGCGTTCACTCTGTGTTCCAAAATCACAGGGAATACCTTACAGTAGTATATGAGATATAGCTTTCCAGTGTGTCTGTGTGAAATAACTCTTATCCACCTATTGCAAAAGAAAAAAATTGCCCTTTAGAATTTTTTTTATGAACTCACATTCAAGTTCTACCTCTCAGAGAAGACATTGATCGGAGCACACATGTATTATAAAGAAAAGCAAGCTAAAATTTATTATGCATAAGCACAGAAGAAAAAGGCAAATACCTGACATCGACTTTTTATTGATTTTTGTGTAAAACACAGTCTATGGAAAAATAGATAAAAGCATTACTAATTATTTATATTAGCCCTGTTCAGAGAGACGGCACAAACAAATTGACAAACACAACTACAAAGAGAATATTGCACATGGAAGACGTACTATGCTCACTGCAAGACACTGCCAGCAAGGCATGGGAAACAATATATAATGATAGAGATCATTCTTCAAGTCAGTTTGATGTGTCACTTATTTAAAAAGCTGTAATCTAATTAATTCAAGCAGCACCATATACTGATACTGTATCAGTACTGCAACATTACTCATTGTATTGATAGAAAATACTACAGGATGAACAGCCAAGAAATAAAAAAATTGTGCATTAGGAGATGCACTGTCTGAAAGGAACTATGCATATGCATCTATTACCACTGCATATATGAAAATATTGTACTGAAAAAAACAGTCTAAATAATTTTTATGCACCTGATATATCTAACTTTCAGAGGAAATCTTCACATTCAGAGGAAAGCTTTTTCCTAACTATATTCATACCTTTGAGATTTATAGCCACTTGGGAACTCATTGCCTTATATTAATTAATAATTTCCCTTAGTGCTAGTTGGGCAGGATGTATAGCTAATAACATATAGACACACACACACACGCATAGACACACTATTTTATGGGCAATTAATGCCAAATAAAAATACAAATGTACTTTCTCATGTTGGCACATCATGTAATGCACAATGTTGGAACAAAAAGTTAAGCATGGCACCAATTCACAGTAACCATCACCACAAACTAGATATGCAAAGAACTTGGAAAACAATTACAAAATAAGTAATTTCTAAATAATTCAAGAACATGGGTACTTAATTAACTTGTACATAGTTGCCACAGTTAATAGAAATGTAAGGTAAAGTTAAAGACACCTATGGAACCTGGTAATAGAACTGTATTTTAGACAACATTAAGAAAGAACATCGTAATATCCATAGAAAACAAATAATCTGTGCTAAATACATAGAGGTCTCCATTTTCTAGTATGATGTATACAGTTCTGTATTACATATTAAGCACTATTTTTTGACTGAATAGAAATCAAGAGAAATGTAATTTATTTCATTATTCATTAGGCAGTAAGCAATTTATATAAAGCTACACAAAAATATTTTCATAGCAGGCTATTCCTCAAGATATGTTTATTCTCCTAAGTTACTAAGATGTCCAAATGAACTTAGTTGTTTATATTTAGGCAATGGAAACTAAACTTCTAGCCTCAGGTCTTTTTCTGATGAGAAGTCCTAATGTGAGTTCTTCTATAGAAATCGATGTATTTGATGACATGAATAAAGATTCTGTATGTGAGTAAACATATGCATGATACGATACATAATGCATAGTAAATGCATGAGTGCCATTTTACTGTCAGACTTAACAGTGTCTTGTTAGAGTGAATTGGTCCTTAGAGAGCACTACAAAATATTAAATCACAAGTCAACTTGTTATTCCAGTTAGCAGTAAATACATGGTCTAACGGGAAACTATATGTCATTCTGTAGCACAAATATTTCACAAAATGCCTTTGTATATTTGATCTAAAAATATCATCTATTTATGAATACTTCAATATTTCAACCTTTCGAGTAACTTGTAAAACCAAAACACATTTTTAATTTTCTACACACACAGTTTGAAAAAAGGAACAACACATCATTTTTCTCTCCAGACACCTTTGGCAGTTCAGAATTTAATAGTTTAAACATTCTTGAAGAAATTTAATGATGAAATAACTTTTTGCATAGGAAAGAGGGCCAATACATTTCTGTATATACTGTCAGTGGTTGCATTACAGTACAATATATATGGGCTTTGACAGTAATTTTCAATTAGTACAGTATCTTAGTTCTGCAACATTACCGCTATTGCATCAAACAAATTAGGTAATTGTAGGGAACATGAATGTTAATTACCTATTCTACAGAAGTGTAGAATTACTATAAAATAATGGCAGCGTATTTAATTTTGTAATGTAATCAGATTGCCAACAGTAATGGTTTCTGCCCTAAATTTGTTCAGAGGTATGATATTCTGCTCTCAGTTATACCATCCCATTCTAGTGATTTTAATCAGGTTTTGTGCACAGGAGCTCACAAGAAACATACAGCTTTCTGTATTGGAATGTATTACAACAAACCCAGAATATACACAGGCTTGATGTGTAAGTTTGGGGAATATGGATGAAATGAAAATAAAATTGTTGTCACAGGCTTGATGTGTAAGTTTGGGGAATATGGATACTACAATGAAAATAAAATTGTTGTAGATTTTTTGAATTTGAAATGAAATTAAGAACAACTAACATAAACTCTTTAGATTTAGGTTGGTGTAACTGGGGGCAGAGTTTGATTCTAGATTCTTCCTGTTCTGTGGTGCTGTTGGTTTCATTACAGACAGAGAGAATGAGATTTACAGGACTAGTGATGTTTAAGGATAGATTCAAGCTTAAGTACTGTATATTTCTGATATGTCGACCACAGATTCTTGCAAAGTAATAAATAATAAGTGAAGGTTCAGCTGAGAAAGTCAGAGATCTTAAACAGTGCAAATATAGATAAGAAAAATATAAATCCATACAAGTAAAGAAAATTAGGATCAAATACACATTCTGACTCACTGAAATAAAGGTTTTGCTAATTAAGCAGAAGTAGCCTGAAGGTATGAGCTGAGTTTGGCTATTTTGTTAGAGAAGAGTAGAACCTCACAAAGCAGTAGCAATAAATAATTGTGAACATTCTTTTGGATCCCACAGGAAATGCAAATGTCAAGTTTTAGAGTTAAATTCATTCTTAAGTATAAGAATAATAATTTTGTTTCTCAAAAATTCAGGCATATCCCAGAGAGACTTGTAAAAGTAACACTTTTATATAAAAATAGAAGATTGGATTTGCACAAAAAGATACTATGAATTTAAGACAGACTCTGGGAAATTCATATATAATAACTGAAACTCCACTGTAGAAACATATAGAACATGAGTATTGTGATGCTTCCCTGTTGTACCAACATACTGGAAGTTTCCCAGTGAAAATGGATTTATATGGTTGCAGATTTCTCAGCTTTTTTGTTTTGTTTTGTTTTAAAATATTTCCTGATATTTTGAAATCATTCTAAAATCAAAAACTAGTTGCTTGCACACATACCTGCAAGTCTTTCTATACATGTATAACACTGTTTTGAATTTTCGTTGTATGATGTGTGGAAATAAAGAAACGCCAAAGGTCTAAAATCCTTGGTTTCAAAACCTGACTATTTCCTAAATTATTAACTCTATTAGACTATATTCTGAACTCACTAACCCAGAAGTGTGGTTTTAACATAAGAAACACTGCCCAGAAAATGTGGTATTAATAAATAGCACTCTGACATGTATGCTTTAAGTCAAAGGAATATTTGGAAAGCATTGTTATAATAAAATACTGTTGTGATATAACTGTGCAAAGGAGCATTAAAAAATTCTGATTTCATAATCATCTGCCCTCTGTAATTCAAAACAAAAATATTTTTGTAGTTATCTAAAGCAGCAGTCTTCTAGTTATAAAGTTATAAGTTTCTTATAGTTTGGTTGAGAGCTTGTACTATATGCCAAGCAAGTCCACAGTGACTTTACTCATACTTTAACTAAACTCCTAAAAATATGAGTTAGTGACAAAAAAACCCACAAAAAAACCAAAATCAAACATCTGCGACAGTGCTAACAAATATTAGTCTATCATCACATCACAGTTATTCTTTCTGGGGAGAGATGTGGAACAGACCCACTTGCTTCTTCTATAACATGGCTTTTCTCCCATCCTCTTTGAATTCTCCTCAGTTTCCTACTTACACATGGCAAAAGGAAAACAATCTTACCTAGAATTACAATGGAAGGCAGAACAAGGGCAAGAACAAAATTTGGTGGTGTATAAAATCTGTAATATTCTTCTTCAAAAGCTCTCTTCCATCCGTAAATCAGTACATGGAACGTACTTATGAGCAGAGCAACATATCCAAGTGTAGACTTTGAAAAAGAGAAAACAGGGAAAAAAAGAAGAGATAATAGTACTTGGTCCTTCATCTGACAGCTCTAACACATTACTTTAACATTTCTATTAGACATTACATTAAGATCTCTTACCTATACACTATTTTAAATTATCAATATGTGGTTTTAAGTTCGTATGTTCTGAAAACTATGGACTGAACTGAACACTGATTTACAACATACCTCTGCTAGCATCTATAGGCCTTAGTCAAGGCTGAAATGAAGATGATGTTTGCCCAAATTCTAAGTAATGGAAGCCAACTTTAGGATATGTATGTGAATAAGAAATAATCCCAGTGAAGTTACTGGAATGTCAGTTGTGATTGGAAATTAAGTTCCCTGTTTCTTAACTATGAGGGTAGATCACTTCCAAGACTCATGATTATGGAACAATGCAATTCTGCCGAAGTGCTCTGGGCCTAACACTCCAAATTTTTATCCCTCTGAGAGGTGCAGTTTGCTTCTTCCTCACAATGGCCATATTCTCCCTTGTCTGAAGTTAGCATAAACCATCCCTTACCTTTCTCCATCGGCTGTTGCCTACTGGTTAATGGGAATATCTGGACTGCAGGACTTGGGCATAATGGCAAAAGGCAATGATGCAGTTTATCATAAACAGGTAGTGCTGGATGAAACATGAAGTAGAACATTCCCAGAGCACCCTGCAGAGGACCTCTTATCACATAACCTAGAGCATGCCACAGAAGGTAGTGCCAATAGTGGTCATTCACCATTTGTGTGAAAATGCCCTTTTAAGAACCCTGTAGTTGTACTGCTCTGCAGACCTGGGTTAAATGTATTAACCATGACTTTCCCAAAGTGAAAAAAAAGACTACTATGCTTTGAATTCTGGCGGCGATGAAATGAAGAAAAACTCTCTTTGGCCCAAACTGATGTAATTACTAACTTAGTTGGGGAACATTTGTAGAAAATCATTGAAACAGAGGATGAATATTAAGAAAGGTAACTCGCTACCAAGGTTTCATTTAATTCCAGTAAACAGAGAGGCAAAGAAAAATGCAGCCTAAGGTTCTATAATAGTGAAAGAATTAATTCTTTCTCCTTCAAGATTAACCAGTTTCCAGGGAAAGCAGAATGTCCGAGCTAATACCATTTGCAAGGATTCACAGATGTAATGGTATAAAAAGGAAAACACTTTTGTTGATTTCTAGAGGTTGGTACCATGTTTTTTAACTTCCCAACATTTATGCATTTTTTTTGCCAATGGTTTCAGAGCCATGTTGGCATGTTTTAGATATGCTGCACCCTTTTTTCAAAACGAACAATTTGCTCCCAAAATACTCCATAAGAAACAAAACAATCGGACAACCACTTGTGGATATAAAAATGGCATATGCAGTATCTGAACGGAAATTCTGTTAAGAAATTTGAACAGCAAACAATACTATCAAACCTGATGTTTGAATTATGTTATTGCAGGTTTTTGCTGTTATGACTGTCCTAAATTCACTGCTGTTATATCCCTGCCAGCAGAGAAAAGGGCACAAGTGAATCATATCCCTCATGTCTTCATCAGTCTTACTGAGGAGAACTGTAACAATTCTTGAAAAAGAAACAGGAGGGAAATGTTACACAGACTCTTCCCACATTTTTCAAAAAAAACTTTCAATGCTTATTTAAATTCCATCTGCAAACCACAGTTTTGAGACATCTATATATGTCTTTCTATCTAAAGGTCAAAATGGAAGCTAAGAAGTACACCAGTACATTTATCAGCACATTTTGAACTAACAGCATAAGGACAACAAAAACATATGATACAACTCCATTAAGTTCCAGGGTTTTGCCCTGTGGAAAGTTGCCATATCCTTTTTTGAAGTGTTGCTAGGGCATATGTTAGTATGCACTGGACCATTTCAACCACTTACCTAAAAATCTGACAATAAACACACTCCTATAGGAATTTCTATCAGCTACTGATGGTATTTTCTTCTACCAGGCCCTTAATTGCCATATTTCCATGCTGTACTTCTGACAGTAATAACACCACTTAGCTAGAAAGAGGATGTCCTCCCCACAACTTAGCATTCTGAAGTCTTTGATTTGTTTAGTCAGGGCAGATCTGCACTAGAAAGTTCCATTAGAGCATTTATCCCAGCTTGCAGCTACTCACAATGACTTTTCCACAACCCCACTGCAGGAGGCTGTGTCAGTAAAAAACTTCTGTGTTTGTTACAAAGACTTGATTTTTCTGTATCCACAAATGTTCAAAGACTATAGCAATGGCTGTATGGTGGTAAAATGAGGAAACTCAGAACTGACTGAAGCAGGCTTGGCCAAAAAGACATCAGCTCGTGCAGGAAAATGCACTGTTGGGCAGCTGAACAGCTGAACAGTAAAAATAAGATCAGTTGGTAGCACTGGATCATACTGCAAATCTTGGCCAGCAGTAGTGTCAGAAAGCCATATTCCAAAGCTGACCACCCCTATGGGTGCTAACATGAAAGATGATTCAATTATTGAGAAAGAAATGATGATTATGCTGTAGGAGTTATTAATTGCTAGAAAGCAATCTGCTTAATACCGGAACTGTGAGAGAGCTGCTATCATTCAGGTATGCAAAGTTATTTTCTTGTGCACAAGCTTATGACTGGACAATGTGGAGAAGGAAATACAGGGATGAAAGAAAATGTATTTCCTGAAATGTCATTGTGCTTCAGATGGAACACACACATTGCATTTCTGTCATCCTTTCCTGGCTTCTTAAGACACAAAAAGAAAGGGATGAATCTGTCTATGAGAGCTGGAAGATCATTTACACTAATGTTACCACAGGAAGGTCAGGAGATGCACAGGATGCTAACTTCTTTAAGAGCAGAGGACTTTTGAAAGCAGTAAGAAGGGATACTTCACTGGTAAATTCACATTGGTGAGTGAGTAGCAGTATCAGTTTTAAGTCCTGGGAACCCTCTGCCTAGGCTCTAGGATGGCTGCTGGGAAAAGGGGAAGAACATCTTTGGTTGCTGTGCTTCCTTATCTTTCATAATACTGTGTTCCCTGGAAGCTGAGTAATAGATTACCATGTTTCCTATGGACTCCTTGATCTTTAAGCTTTTCTCTAAGTCTTCCCTGTTTTGTTTCTTTTCCTTCCTGATCAAAGTCAGTTTTTTAGCCAATGTGGGCGATTCCCAGCCAAGGCTACCAATAAACTGGACAAATTGGCATTGTTTGGGGCAAAAATAAAAAGTGTTAGAGGACTGGAAAAGATGCAGGAAAAAAAATTCCTAAACTTTTACCAGGAAGATGTACATATATAGAGACACAAATCTGTTGTGGGACAAATCTGCTTCAGAAATTTCTACCTTCACAATGGTCAAGTAGTTCCAAGCAATTTGTATATACAAAAGGTATTTCCCAAAGCCTGCATTTATGCAAGGTATCCTTCACTTTTTACCAGTAACAGGGTATTGCTAAGCTTACAAACAGGCTGGTACAATTCTGACTGGACTCTTACCCATGAACTTGCTAAATACTCAGGCCTCATTCTTCTTTACTCTGGGGGAGAAGTATCCTATTCTTTTGGCAGAACCAAAGCAGGGCAGCCCTACCTCAAAGTGTGTGTGCAAGAGAATACTGCCTCCAAAAAACTTTACGATTGTGATAGCAGACAAAAGGAATGTTTACAAAAAGATCAACTTCCTATGATGCAAATGGCAGATCTGTGCTGATTTTTGCTAAGAAACATAAATCTTAGCTTTCAAAGCTAATCTGCTCTGTTCATTGCCACTTTGAGTGACGTGCTTTGGACTTGAACTCTTAGACTGGCAAACAAAAGCAGCAGTCATTTATGCTTACATTATGTATTTACCATTCAACTTCCTTCAGAAGACTGAAGAACCTGTTTGCAGCACTGCTTGCAGACAACATTCTCCATTTCCATGTATTTTATGTCAACACTCAAGGGCTGGTTTCAATAAATGTCTTTTTCTGTTTGCACTTTATCGGTTTAGGCTACTTATTCTGCCTGCTCTGACAAAATAAGAATTCTTTTTTGTTTCTTGTCCATGTCTGTCTTTGATCCTTATCCCAATATGTTTAGAAGAGAAAAAGGAGAGAAAAAGAAGAGTACTGAAGTGGCATTTAAGGAAACTGATGCATAGGTTTACTCAGCTGCTTCTCTGCTTCTTTCTTCAGTAAGCTTGAACTCTGGGTCTGTTAAGATACCTGCAAAGTTTCATACTAAGTTTCCATCATCTAACACCTCCTACTGAGCAAACTCTTCATCACTGTCTGATTCTGTGGCTTCTCCATCTGGATGTTATGAGTGTTTCTCTGAATTATGATGAAGCAATCAAAGATTTGTTTTGTACAGTGGTCAGCTCTGTACTGGCGCAACTCCAAGTTTTCTGCTGTTCTCTTAGCTCCTGGTAGGGTTGACACAGTAACTTCCTTTTGCATCATTATTCAACTTTTTCATATCTCACTTCATTTATATTCATATTCTGAGGGAACGAGTGGAGCCTGCACTGCTTCTCTTCTCAAAGTCCTCTTCCCTTGATCAAGCAGGCTGGAATTTTGGGGGCTACTGATGACTGTGTTGTGAAACCAGGCTATGTAGGATGGAGGCATCTCCATAATAACTGGGGATATCAAAGACAGCAGTGATTTCTGGGCAAAAACATTCACAACTGGGGTTTCTTTACAGTATTAGGAAGACTGTGGTAGAAGTATGTTTGAACCACTGTAGGTAGGGGAGATGCTGCTCAGGGCTTGTACTACTGGAACAAGGCTAGAAAATAGTCTATACTGTATGTATTAAACATACTAAACTCAGATTTTCCTAGTAGGACTCAAGACTGAGTATGTTTTAGTAGTAAAACTCTTTAGAAGAGGCCAGACCCTTATTTTGATGAAATTGTACTTACTACAATGAGCAAGCAATAGTATGTTGTTCTCAGCGGGAAGTGCTGAAATGAGAAACTGGCTGAGTGTGCTGACTGACTGATTCTTCATCTGTCAGAAGCAAAACAAGTTCAGCAATTATTGTGGCAAATCATCTGAGATTCAGTACTAAAGCTAGAGACATACTGTTTTCCCAGTTAAAAAAAAAAGCAGCACTGAGATGATGGGCTAATATTTCCAGTTTGTCCCCCTGACTTAGAGGAGATTAAGAAAATTAAGTACAAATTCACCTCATCACATTGCACTTCAGTAGAAGAAAAATATAAAAGACAGTAAGTATTATGATGTTTTATCTATTCTACTTGCACACTGGGTACAATGAAGCCTGCGCAAAGATTCAAGCTCCTTTTACTTCAGTGAGGAATCACTGAAAGTCTGTTCTGATTGAATAAAGCAAGAGGACGTTTTTGAAGGGCAAGTAACTAAATGAAGAACAACTTACAGCCTGAGAAGTAATTAATGACAAAGTACAGTATCTTTAATGATCATTAACTTTAAAGAAATTTTTAGTAGTTTAATATTTTTTGTGATTAAAAATTGCAAACGATCATAATTAATTACCAATACCAGCTCTCTTCAGCATGCAATGCAGTATCAACTGTAACACACCTCCAGAGCAAACTTGTTCCCAATCCAATTCCTCAAAATACTGACAGATGATTGATTAAAGTTCATAATTATTTCAATTTAGGACTATTTTGACTTTATTTACAGTGGAAATAACTGCAGTAAATATGACACAATAAAAAATGCCCCTCTGGAAACATCATTATGTGATTACTGTGTGGGTATTGACTCAGTCACACAAGCCTGAAATTTGGAAATTTGAATAAGGAAAAATAGGACACAAATGCTGGGTTTGTGGCTGGAAGTCATTATTGGATAAAGGCATCATCTCACTCATGAGTTAATATATATTATATATGTATTATGTAGTCCTCAGGAGGACTACAAGGATGTTGCAAGGTCATGCAGAGAGAAAACTGGAAGGGCTAAAGCCCAACTAGAACTTAAATTGGCCAATTCTGGGAAAGATAATAAAAAATGGTTCTATAAATATATTAACAACAAAAGAAGAGCCAAGGAGAATCTCCATCCTTTACTGGATGCAGGGGGAACCAGAGTGACAAAGGATGAGGATAAGCTGAGGTACTTAGTGCCTTCTTTGCGTCACTCTTTGATAGCTGTTCTCAGGTCAGCTGTTCTCCAGGTACCCAGCCCCCTGAGCCAGAAGACAGGGACAGGGAGCAGAACAAAGCTCCCATGATCCAAGAGGAAATGGTAAGCGACCTGCTTGGCCAATTAGACATACACAGGTCCATGGGGCTGGAAGGGGTCCGCCCAAGGGTACTGAGGGAGCTGGCGGAGGTGCTCACCAAGCCCCTTTCCATCATTTATTAGCAGTCCTAGATGACTAGGGAAGTTCCACTTGACTGTAGGTTGGAGAATGTGATGCCCATTTACAAGAAGGGCCTGAGGGAGGATCCAGGGAACTATAGGCCTGTCAGTCTGACCTCGGTGCTGGGGAAGGTCATGGAGCAGATCATCCTGAGTGCCATCAAACTGCCAGGACAAACACAAGATCAGGCCCAGTCAACATGGGTTTATGAAAGACAGGTCCTGCTTGACTAACCTGATCTCCTTTTATGACAAGGTGACCCACTTAGTGGACGAGGGAAAGGCTGTGGATGTAGGGTACCTGGACTTCAGTAAAGCCTTGACACTGTCTCCCACAGCATTCTCCTGGAGAAACTGGCTGCCCATGGCCTGGACAGGCATACTCTTTGCTGGGTAAAAAACAGGCTGGATGGCTGGCCCCAAAGGGTGGTGGTAAATGGAGTTAAACCCAGTTGGAGGCCAGTCACAAGAGGTGTTCCGCAGGGCTCAGTGTTTGGGCCAGTTCTGTTTAATGTCTTTATTAACGACCTGAACAAGGGGATTGAGCGCACCCTCAGCATGTTTGCAGATGACACTAAGCTGGGTGGAAGTATTATCTGCTTGAGGGTAGGAAGGCTCTACAGAGGAATCTGGACAGGCTGGATCAATGGGCTGAGGGCAATTGTATAAGGTTCAACAAGGCCAAGTGCTGGGTCGTGCACTTGGGTCACAACAACCCCATGCAATGCTACAGGCTTGGGGAAGTGTGGCTGGAAAGCTGCCTGGCAGAAAAGGACCTGCGGGTGTTGGTTGACAGACGGCTGAATATGAACCAGCAGTGTGCCCAGGTGGCCAAGAAGGTCAACAGCATCCTGGCTTGTATCAGAAATAGTGTGGCCAATAGGACTAGGGAAGTGATTGTCTCCCTGTACTCGGCTCTGGTGAGGCTGCACCTCGAATCCTGTGTTCACTTTTAGGCCCCTCACTACAAAAAGGACACCGAGGCACTGGAGTGTGTCCAGAGGAGAGCAATGAACCTGGTGAGGGGTCTAGAGCACAAGTCTGATGAGGAGCGGCTGAGGGAACTGGGGTTGTTTAGCCTGGAGAAGAGGAGGCTGAGGGAAGACATTATTGCTCTCTACAGCTACCTGAAAGGAGGTTGTAGCGAGGTGGGTGTTGGTCTCTTCTCCCAAGTAACAAGTGATAGGATGAGAAGAAATGGCCTCAAGTTACACCAGGGTGGTTTAGATTAGATATTAGGAAGAATTTCTTCACTGAAAGGGTTATCAGGCACTGGAACGGGCTGCCCAGGGAAGTGGTCGAGTCTCCATCCCTGGAGGCATTTAAAAGATGGGTAGATGTGGTGTTTAGGGGCATGGTTTAGTAGTGGACAGGTACGGTTGGACTTGATAATCTTAAAGGTCTTTTCCAACAAAATGCTTCTATGATTCTATATTTTCCCTTTTGCACTAACATTTTACATTACGCACCAGCAGTATCACTGTCCCCACACAGAGAACTCTGGATAGCAGGGACACTGTAACAATACAAAATGAGTATTTACTCCCTCTGAAGGCTCAAAACCATGAGAGAGAATAAACAGTTCTGAAAAATTTTTCAGCAAACTTTTTGTAGGCCTACCTGGATTGTTCTACCAACGGAAATCTTAGGGTAAAGGAAGACATGACTTTGCAGACAGAAGGCCTCTGACAACTACAGCCAAAGAAGTGTTCCCCATCACTCCCTTTAAAATGTCTGTAAATTATGAAGCACAACTGAAGCCCTGAACAGTAAAGCCAGTGCCTGTGTTCTGAAGGTAGGAATTTGTAAACAGTGACAGGACTAAGAATTAGGCAATATTATTACAGTGGCTATGTTGAAAAAACATGAATCAGAAAAGACTGAGTTAAGACTAGAGTACTGAATCCAAAGTTGGAGAACAAAACGAAAGCTAATAAAACCCAAAACTACATGTACACACTTAGGAAATTTATCTCAAGATTGAACCCTAATAAAATTTCTTATCACTGCTATCTAAAACTAATGGCAATTTAGTTTGGAAGCAAACATTAAGATGTTTATTAAAGCTTGTATTTCTCAGTATTTTATGCTGCATAGGTCTGCCTGTAGTAGATATTTATCTGAGGAAGGAGGGTAACAGAAGGCATGCCAGGACCTGGAAAAGCTTCTACTTTTAATAAAGCTTCATATTTTACTAATGGGTATTTTCAGCTAATGGGGATAACGCAGTTGAGAGCTGTATTAATTCCCACACAGTGGAGGGGAAGCAAAACTGAATCAATGACACCATGGCTGTCAGAGGGTTGTGCAATAAAAATCCTGCAGGACAAATTAAATCTTCAATTTTAACAGTTGTGCGCATCTACATATAGTAGTATCTCATCAGTATCATTGCCTTTAGTGAGTTTGCCCAAATTTATCTGATTTGAATTTAGCAAGACATTCTAACAATGGAAAAGGAATAGATTAATGCTCATTTTTTCTTAGCTATGTTGGTTATTTAAGACCAAGAACTGTAAAATGCAAATTCTAACAGTCATTAAATGCTTAATGTGCCTTCATGGTAATATATCTGCTGAGGAAGGATATGTTGTTTTTATTAACTTACCAGAAAGAGAGAAAAAAAAGCTCTCATCATGTTGCAAAGTGATTTTGTTTGTGATCATGATCATCATCAAGGAATTCTTATTAACAATAAAAGCCCCTTATTTAAAAAGTAACACACCTGAATAAAACTGAACTCCCTCCAGTTTAAGGCACTGTTTACTGAAGGGATGGAAGTTACTGCCAGCAAAGAAAGCAATCCAAGACTCATTATTCCAAAGGAGATATACATTTCAATTCGCCACACTTCTTCCTCATTCCAAGAATTTTCAACATTTGCATGAACCTGATGAAAGAGCAGAAAGGAAGCACTTTATTCTACAGATTTTGAAAATATGAGCAGAAGTTATATGAAAATCTTCAGTCACAGGATAACTATAAAATGAGGTCAAATATTTCAGAGGTTTCCTCATGTCTTGGAGAAAAACAACTATTTCCTTACTGCTGGTATTGACTCTTGTTAGACTAAAAATATGTTAAACATGGAAACTTAGATTCTTGTTAAAAGAAAATGTAACATTATATATTTATAACAATTGTGTTACAAAACCAGATAAATCTGCACATTCCCATATACTGTAGAAAAGTAGCTGTGTTGTTCAGACCCTGGAAACTTAAATCCTGTAACATAAATTGGGTAAACCCACAATTTGTGTTTAGTTTGTTACATTTAGAAACAGTTTAGCATAATTTCCTGGTTTTGCTTCAGCTCCCTATGCTGAGTCCGAGTTACTTTGGCTCTCTCACTGTTGACATCAGATACATCCAAGACTGATTGTTCTCACTGGAAAGCTTTACCAGAAAAAAGAAACAACTCAGGACCTTAACAATTAAGAGGCTTGGACATTCAATTATTTTTCCACTTTCAGGTGAACTATTGTGATATGGCATGTCTTGAAATTGAGGTTCACTAGGAATATTAGCAAGTGAGAGTTTTACAATATTATTAAAAACATGATAATTTCTTAGTAAAAGTACCAGTGAGTCCTTACTAATATTAAGTGTGAACAACTACAGTTTCTTGCTGCCTTTTACGGTTTTGCTCTTCCTTTCTTTCTCTTAAATTCAATTTTTCATGCTAGGCCTTTTAGAATTTGTGGACTCAATCCCCATTAATTTGTTCCATTTGATTTGATTTCCCTAGGTTGCTTTTCTTTCTGTTCCATCACATCTCTCTTTCCTGCAGATTTTACGTGCTGAATGGCAATGCTGCTTTTCTGGCAATGATGCTTTTCTGCCACTTTAAAGGTGACAATAAGCTACCTCACTGACAGACAGGAACATCAGACCCTCTTCTAAAGGATGACAGATTTGTCAGAGATTGTTTCAGGGTTATGCAAGACCAACTGCTCATGGGAACTGTGAGTCAATTTCTGTTGCCTCTAATAGATGATGTTCACAGAATTTTTAATGAATAAAATATTTTCACCACTGGTCCAAAATGTTACAAAGTAACAGCATTTTATTTTGTAAACATAGAGGTATCTGTAAGCATTATTACAGTATCTACTTTTATGCCATTTTCACACCTGTAAATGCACTTAAGACATACATATTTCCCCCACATGTTAAGTATACATAGAGAGGAACATACCTCATCAACTCAGGTTTCCTGCTGTTGCTCTTATCCTGTCTACCCTACATTCTCCTTGTGTATTTTACTATCAGGGATTTAAGTACGGCATATTCCCCCTACCACACAAACTTGACTGCAGCTTGACCCACAGGGTGAGCAGAATGAAAAGATGTTGGTCTCCCTTCTTACTTGGCACTAGCTACATGTAAGATAACCCATAACATTCTCTGCCGGAAACAGTGGAACACACTAAGAAAACAAATATATTGTATTCATGAGCCATATGCATACAGCCAAGGCATTTTTGGCTTACTTGTTACTAAAGATTGGCTTACCTGTTGATATGCCATATTGAGGAACAAGTATCGCTCCGATCTCCTCATAGGCAAGCAGAGGCTGTATGCCACATGCACTGTTGCAAAGAAAAAGCTGAGCAGTCCGAGCTGCTTTCGACACTGGAGCCAGTTGTCCAGCCAAGGTGGAAATCGCCTATACTTTGTACCATAGTAAAGCTGATAAGCAGCTGCAATAAGTCCTGATAAGTATACTAGAGAAAGTAAAGTGATAGCAACAATTGGTAGAGTCTTGTTCACGATCTCAATGGGGATCTTGTAGAAGTCACTCTGCTGATTTCTCATGTATGGATGGATTACATCTCTGACGAAGGAATAGATGAAGAAAAATGTTGCCAGGCTAATGGCAATCACTACAGGCCCCTTCCAGAGTGTGAAGAGACGCAGAGGTAAGTTTTCAATCTCCCTTGAAGATGACAATGCCCCCAGATCAATAGGAATAAAACTGAGCTGACGGGCAAGCTCAATCACTTGATGGCGAGCCTGAACATTGTTACTGCATATATAGACCTGTTGGGAAAGTCAAGTGAATTGTCTGCAGTCAGAGAAAGAGACTTAAAGGTAAAAAAAAAAAAAACAACCACAAAACAACCTTAAGGGCCTCCAGTACAAAACCACAGCACTACTGCTAAATCTGTACACTGTTATCCCAGCTTGTATTATCAAGGTGAGAATGAAACAATATAAAAATCCAGCCAAAGTGAAAATATGCACACTGATTTAGCAACAGAGAACTCAAAACAAAATTGGCTTTTTCTTGGAGTTAATAATGAGCTGACTGTGGGATGCCCTGGTAATCAGCACACTGGCACCTCCCCCTACCACCCCCCACTCCAAATGTCTACAGGACTGGATTGATCTTGAAACAACAGCTAAAAGAATTTCAGAAAATCCTGAGTCTCTCAAAAATCCAGTTATCTCGAATGATGACCCTAAACCAGCTGTAGCATAAACAGAATGCAAAGCAGAGAACTGTGTAATCTCACATCTGTAACAAATTTAGCTTAATTTCATAATCCAGATTTCCACAAAAATTGAATGTTTAACAGAAAAGACAAAAACTATCAGACAAACAACAAGCCCTTCTAAAGACCAGTTTATTACATAGTGAAAGAAATGCACTGCTACAAAGTACTTTAAAGTTCCTTTAAAGTTTGCAGTGGGCTATAGTTTGCCCAACACTGTTTGCTGATCATCTGCATGAGAGCAAACATGATCCGTTTTGACAGAAGTTAATTACTTATAGTGCAGTGCTATTCTGAAAGGGATAAAAAATAGTATGGTAAGGTTATTTTAAAGATTATACTAATTCTATATGAATTGCATTCCATTTAAAATATGCCTGAAGTGCCAGAAAACTCAGTTTAAGTCTCCAGTAGTCACATTTCACTAGACATTTCTCATGCATTTCTCAGAGTCCATAAAGCCATGAGGGACTGGGTTCTTGCACAGGCTTAAATCCTTTGTATCACTTCAGCAAAGCATGAAGAACATAAAGCTGCCTTTTCTATATGCAGGATGGATTTGGGGAACATACTAGGAAGGAATTTGAACATGATGTTCCCAAGCAGTCCTGGATCAAACGAATGATCACTTAGAAACATATGTGCCTCCTTCTGTTTCCTCATATTTATGATCTTGGGGCATTCTAAAAGCTAGATAATTTCTTCCATTCACTTTGCTGTTACGTTGAATGCAAACATTTTTAGGACAGCTGACTCCTGAGATTTCTGACCTCAGATTCTATGCATCTCTTTCAATAGTTCACCCCATGTAAACCAATACTGAAACTAAAATATACTGGTAAAGACTGCCTCTATCCTTGTATAGAGCATAAGGATAAAAATTAACATATTTCCTACAGAAGACATTAAGACCCAACTCCTCTGCTCTGTCTGTACTCATCTAAAGGTCAGCTGTCTAGTCTAAGTTAGTATCCACATTTCCTCTGCAATCTTTAAAGACAAACACACATCCCAGGGGACAATTTGGACCACTTACTCTATATGTCTTACAGTGGGATGAATTGGACTCTGAAAATTTTATTGGCTACTAAAACTTAAACTAACAGCCCAACATTTTAGGTACATCAACTCAGGCAGGATGAATCCCATGAGTTCTGACTGCTTGCATTCAGTTCCTGCCATTTTGATCTTACAAACAAGTTAAATTAATACAAACATAACATTTACCTGTCTGCTGGCATCCTTTGGTCCTAACTGCAGTGACCAAGCTGAAACAACATTGAATCCTTTGACAACCAGGGAATCTGGGAAAAGTGATGCCAAATACTCTGCATTGGAGTCCGGATATTGGTCTACTCTTGTATTATTGCTGACATCAATCAGAATTTTACCAGCGAGTAAATGCTTGAGGTCCCACAAAGAGGCATAATGTTCTCTGTGTATGGCTACAAAAATGATGTTTGTTTTTGCTACTGCATCTTCATGGTGAGTGACATCAACCACATGGGGGAAGAACTCTGCAGCAAGCTTAGGGTTTCTGCTTCCTACGACCACGTGATACCCACATCTGATAAGCCTAATTGTCAATGACTTAGCAAAGTCTCCGCTTCCAATGATGCCTATTGTGATCTTCCTGGCATCCTTGATGCCATTGGCAACATTTGGTAGAAAAGTTTCATTGAGGTTCTTAGGACTTCCCATCATAGAGATTGATTCCATACTTCCAAGACACCAAACCTACAGTGATTTCTTCAGGGAGGGGAAAAAAGGAGAAAGCAACAGAAAGAAAAATGCAGCATCATACAATTTTACAAGACATCAGAATCCATAAACATCTCTGGGAGCAAAATACGTGGTTCTAACTTACATGTTGTATTTTCTCTTTAATAAAGTATGTGCTAATCAATTTTGTATTGCAATGTGTCACTAATACAAGGAGAAACATGAAATAGTTCAAGCACTTTAATAATACAGTTACAGAAGTAAATTATATTTTTCCATCTTCTCCTATTCCTTATGTTCCACTGCCCTGGAATACTGGACCACAAGACAACCTTATGCTCCTGAAACTAATGGTCGATGGAATAATGAGAAGAAACATGTAAGGAAAACTGGGTAATTATGGAAAATATTAGAAGGTAGAGATAGCTGGCCTGTGGCTGGCATAAGAACAGTGAGTTCACGGAAGCTGAATTCCATTAAAAGCTTATGCAGGTTATTATTGTGGTATCCTATATTGGCCAGGAAGGAAGGGATGCAAAAGTCTCAAAGCTGCAAATGTCATGGCTACCACCATGACACAGACATCCACATGACGTACTCACCTGTCAGCCAGGGAAATGGGCAGCGCACATGGATTCAATGGCAAAGACAACAAAGGAAATTTGTCAAGGCCTATTCATGAGATCACGCATGACACTGCTAGGTCAAACTGCTAGGTCTGGCCATGGTTGTATAAGGATTAACTGTGAGTGAAAGGGTAAAGGATTCAAGGCCATGGGTCACAAATATGCCTAACAGAATTTTTCTCACCAGGCAGAGAAGATAAACCCTGGTGACACCCAAACACATGGGACAGCATTTCACGAAAAGCTAATGGCAGGAAGAGATAGATTTCATGCAATAATGAAAGGGAAGAGAGTTTTAGGACTCAAATTCAGTGCAGAAGGGAAGCTTTGAAGAAGAACAGAGACTAAGGCTCACAGAAAATTAAAAGAAATATTGCTACAGCTTTGGAGAGAAGAGGTCATAGAACTGCAGTAAAGCTGTTACAAAGACAAAAAGACATAAAACCCCAACAGAACAACCCTCAGGAGGGAAGTCTTCCCATGAAACCAGTTATGACATAAGTGGTTGTGCACTGTAGAACAGGAATGAGTTCTGAAAATGAAGGAAGCAATGAGGAAAGGCAGGCTAAAAAGGAGCAAAGAGAAACCACGAGGTTGCTGTCTTGGGAGCAAAACCAGACCACATAGAAAGGAAGAGCTAAAGGAACGTCGTCCTGAGCCACCATCCAAGAGCTGATATGGTGGTAACTAATCACCAGTGGGGGACTTTACCCAGCTATCGGCTAGGAACACAGTATGTATGGTGAGCAACTTCCCACAATTAAAAGTAGCTTTCTGTTTCAGAAACTGGAGGAAGCTACTAGAAGAATGGCCACTTCTCATTTCAGCTTTGACTAGAAGGGAAGAACTCACTGAAAATGGACTGAGACTCTAAAGATGGAAAGCAATATGTGAAAGTGACCACCAAATCAGTATTCTAAGAAAAGATTCTAATAGTGAATCTTTCTGGCAGAGCCAGACCACGTAGATTTTTACGCATGCACTGAAAAAATACTGACTTCTTTCTTACCACACAACGTGAAACTTATCTAACGCGTGACCAAAATACCAGTGTTTCCTGTACCATGATGGGTTCACATCCAGGAACATAATGAGAATAGCTGTATTTTGATCAGAGAAGAGATATAAACCAACTGGATGTGACAGAACACGTATGCATTCGCCATGTGATTACAGAGGCCCATTTCAGTTCATGCTATGTGACGTGAAGGTGCTGCAAAACTCTGGGATTGAAAAGGAACCACCATGAAGAAATGGGCTACCAGGACCATTTAAAGACACTGCAGCCTGCTTTCAGTTTTTGTCCAAAGGATCCTTGCGAGAGTGGGCATCAAGGATTTGAACATGATAAATTGCTCTGGCGAATTGAATTTGGCCCACTGGCCAAAGTTTCTCACTGCCTGTTCTAAGGAAAGTAGAGTGTGAGGAACAGAATAAACCTAACAGACTTCATAAAAAAACCCCAGGGAATAGGCAGACATGACTCTTGGGCAAATAATCTAAGGGATGGAAGAGATCAGAGAGCTGGCAGTTACTGAAAGGGACTACATTAAATGCACAATAGCAATTGAGAGGAAAGATAGCGTATAAGACTGTTTTAACTGCATCAGGAGTGCTTTAATGACCTCAAAAATCATACAAAAAGTAAAAAAAAAAAAAAAAGAGTGTGTGTGTGCATGGCTAAGGAACAGTATAAAGAGACAGTGCTATCGTGT